AATATGTACTAGCCAATGAAATGAAAAGGAGAAATGAATGATGGAAATAATGGAAGAAATTAAATTTTTTTTCATATTATAAAATTTCATATTTGAGAAACCCAGACAAAAACTATAATTTTTTAAATATAAGAAACTGGTAGGGAAGATGGTTATAAAAACAATTTTAAAAATCAATAGCTATATAAATTGGGACAGTTTAGAGAGCATTACACTGAGTGAAATAATTCAGTCTCATAAGGACAAATACTGCATTACATTGAGTGAAATAATTCTGTCTCATAAGGACAAATACTGCATAAGATTGTCTTTGTAAAAATAGTAGGTCAACTGGGCAAGATGACTATAAATTTCAAAAGAGGATAGGAAAAGAGAGAAGGGGTAAAAAATAAAAAGGAAGGAAGGAAATCACTAGGATAGCAGAGATTAGTGGGCGGGATGTGTGTGAAGGAATACAAAAGATTTAATGGGGACTTGAAAAGTTGGGGTAATAGGTATAGATCAATAGTAATTAATTATGTCAAATACAATCTATATTAATGATTGTATAAAATGCAGTGTAGATGAATGAAACACAATGTAAATGAAAGATGATGTAAAACACATTGTACATGAATGAAGCACAATGTGTATGAATTATTATATTCAAACCAATAAAAATATTTGAAGGAAAAATATTAAAAGATAAAAAATACACCCACAAAAAGTTAGTAACATACCTATTGTAAACAATATCTAAATAAAAGACACATTTTTAAAAATAAAAGTGCATTGATAACAAAAAATATAATTGTGACAAAAAAAATTAACTTTAAAGAGCTATGTAGGATACATGGAGCCCCAATGTCATCCTGCATAACATGTTGATTTGCTAATGGAAAGAGCTGCAATTCGACCCCATCAACTTCTTTGTAGGAGAAAAATCAAGCATGTAGATTTACAGCCTGGGAAACTTGATGGAGTGTTAACTATGAGTCAGGCTCCTCGGTGGCAGTGTGTGGTTATGTAGGATGTGTATCTGTAAAATTTAAAGAAACCTTTAAAACACTAAGGAGGAAAGTCATTCATAAATTAAATGTGTACCTTATTTAGCATATTAATTAAATGAAATAACAGTCTAAGTACAAACAGAATTTTTGAGCTTAATTTTGGAACTTAATAATGCTAAAGTTCATCTGAAAAAATATACACATGCAAATAGCCATAAAATTTGCTAACAGATAATAAAATTAATCATACAGCTATAGAGTTTAAGTGTTTAGTGTTTACTATAGAAGAGACTACAAAGAATAAAAAAAGAAATACTGTCAAATATCTGTGGATGCATAGTGTATGATATGATACAATAAAGCTGGTAACGTAACAGAATCACAGAAGTTATTTCATCTTTTTTTTTATTAGAAAGCTGGTGAGCTGAGGGAGGAAAATGTGCAACAAAGAATGAGTGAAAACCCAACCTTTCTATAAACTTTTGTTAAAATCACAATTAAAAAATTTTATATAGCAAACTAAAAAAATAATGTAAAATAGAATATATAAGAGTGATTGTATGAAACATAAATGAAAGGTTGTATAAAACACAATGTATATGAATGAAACATAATGTAAAGGAATTATATGAAAACCAATAAAAAATTTTTTTAAAAAATTATAAAAACTTTTTTAAGGTGCAAAGTTAACGAAATTCCAGATGAGTCAAAGATTACAGTGTAAAAATAAAATCCAGAAATGGTCTAGGATTTTTTAAAAAACCTCCAGGTCTTCATAAAGTTGCTATGCATTATCTATGACTTGATAGCACTTAACAACAACAATACAGAGAGTGATCAGTTGGCCTAGTGGACAGAAAGTGATGCTACCAAGCCAAAGGTAGGTGACTCTAATCCATGGCCCTCGGGCCTGTTTTTCATTGTTTTTGATGAAACATTCTTCTAGGTTGTATAGCCCTGGTCTGTCCACTTGCTGTACAGATGTAACTTGTGGTTGCTGTGATGCTAAACATTGTGACACTGATGTGTCAAATGGGAGAATGGTTACCCATGGTGGATAATGTTTGGTGGAGCTCCCCGATTAAAACAAGCTTGGAAGCAGGAGTGGCATCCACTTCTGTAATAGCTTGCCTCCGGAAATATGATGAACCTGGAGAGAGAATGAAAGTTACACAAGTGTTCAGGTCTTTCATTAATAAGGTCGCTATGAATCATCTACGACTTGATGGCACTTAACAACAATAACAACAACCTAGATAATGTTTTAATGATTTCATACTAAGGAAGTTCTTTCAAACTATGACATAAAGAGCAGAATTCAAAAAAGGAAATAAATGATAAATCTGACACCATGTCATATAAAACTTGCTACACATCACAAAGTAACTGCACCACAAAGCTGAGACAAATGAGAAACTCAGATATAATTTGCATTGTAAGACTTTTACAGATAAATTCATAAGACCAGCCACCTGATAGAAAAAGTGATACACAAAAGAAATAAACTGACACTTCAATTTTAAAAAAATTAAAAAGACACATACAAACGTAAATCTTTGAAATATTAATGTCTCCTATAACTTTTTAAAAAACATGTGAATCTGAAAGATGTAGGTTACCAACCTGTCACATTGGCAAAGGTTTCAAATTTGTCAGATCCATCATTCTTTCACACGGTTTTGGAAGAACGTAACTGGCTATAACTTTCTTGGAGGTCAATTTGTCAACCGTCATCAAAGAGAAATATGAAGCTCCCTTTTTGACCTAATTTCCTTTTGTAGTAATTAATCTTTTATATGTGTACATGCATGGCACTAGCTTTATTCAAAATAGTGAGAAAACAAAAAAGTGGAAACATTCATTAAGAGGAAATTCATCAATAAATTATGATACAGCTATTAAAAGGGAAGGTCATGGGATTGAATTGAAAATACTTCTTAAAGAAAAATAAGATGAGAAAATGTAAAACTATCATTTCATTTCTATATAAATGTGCATATACTTATGAACTTTCCAGAAGGGTGACAACAACATCAAAAAACCAATCCTATTAACACTGTATTGCTAATATTGTAAACAATGACATCAGTAGAAAAAAGAAAGCTGGGGTTTATGGGTAGGTGTTTTTTTTTTTAAGCTGTGGTTTTTAAATTTTATATTCTCATATCCTATTTTAAAATTTCACCAAGGGGATGTATAACTTTTATAATTAAAATATCTGGTTTAAAATGATTGCAAACAACTATTTTTCATATCTTTAAAGATTTTCCTAATCCTTACCTCCCACATCTCTATCCCACGGCCCCACAGGTTGAGTAAGGGTATCAGGTACCAGTTGCCACAGAATCATTGGCTCGGGCTATCCAGCATGTCAGACTAGAACTGTGATACAAAATACGTTCTGAGTTTTCAGAAGTACATCACCAAACCTAGATTGCCAGTATGGCCTTGAACTTGCAACCTTTTGTTTAGCAGATGAGTGAGTGCCTTAACAATTTGTACTCCCTGGACACTCCTAAATTTGGCTATTCTGCCTCTTTCATAACTCTCTGTATAGTTCATCACAACTAATTATTTACATATTTGTTTCTACTACAGCCTGTGAGAACATCAAGGCATAAATAAATTGTATTGAAATAAATTGTATTCATCTCCCATCACCCTCATTTAGTATAGTATAGTATAGTATAGTATAGTATAGTATAGTATAGTATAGTATAGTATATGACACATTATCATTTCTATACGTATTTGAGGGAGCCCTGGTGGCCTAGTAGTAAAGAACAGTGCTGCCAACCCAAAGGCACATGGTTTGAATCCACCAGCTGCTCTACAGGCAAAAAAGATGGGCAATCTCCTCTCATGAGATTTACTGCCTCTGAAAACCTGCTGGAGAGTCAGCTATGAGTCAATTCCAATTCAATAGTACAAACCAACAACAGCATATATATTGTTGTTAGGTGCAGCGACCCTATGAACGAAAGACCTGAGCACTATTCATAGAGTTTCCAGAGGCAAGCTATTTCGGAAGTGGATGCCACTCCTGATTCCAATCTTGTTTTAATCAAGAAGCTCCACCAAGCACTGTCCCCCATGGTTAACCATTATCACATTTGGCACATTAGTGTCACAGTGTTTAGCATCACAGCAACTACAAGTTACCTCTGTACAGCAAATGGACAGACCAGTGCTATAACACCTAGAAGAATGACAGAAAAACAATTTGAACCAGGCCTGAGGGCTGCAGAATAAAGTCATCCATCGTGGGCTTGGTAGCATAACTTTCTGTCCACTAAGCCAACGTTATATATATTATATATATATATATATATTTGATAAATTAACAAGAATGAATGCATAATACATTTCCTATTTCTACGACCTGGTGGTCTACTGGCAAGAAGTTGCACTGCAATCCCAAAGGTGTGCAGTTCGAAGCCATCATCTGCTCTGCTAGAAGAAAGATGAGCAATCTCCTCCCCTGCTAGTAATTGCCCCGAAACCCCCCCTAGGAAGTCAGCAGGTCAGTTCCTGTTCTATGGTACACAACAACAACAACAACACCTCTATCCATATGCATCTCTCCCTCCCATAGCATTCTATGTTTCCTATATTACTTGTATCACTTACCCTTATTGAATATTTTTTGTGTGGTTTTTATCCCTTATTCCTCTAGACTCAACAACAAGGGCAATAGCATACATGTTTCTGTCCCAGCACCACACACACTGACTGACCCAGAAATATGTGCTGAATTGAACTGAAAACACTCCTACTGCTAACCTGAAATAGGCTGTGTCCTAGAAAACATAATGGTATTTATTTTTCTTTTTTTTAAGTATAGACTTTCTTATTTGAACAGAAAAAAAGCTCTATGCCTAATGACAGCCTTTGACCTTAGGTATTTGAATTCTTGTCATTTAAGACTAGAACTAGAGCTAAGAAGAATTTTTATAGTATTTACTCATTTTAGGGTATATTACTTCTTTTTGCAACAGACAAGAAAACATAATGGCAAGAGGCAATCGCTCCACAGTGACAGAATTTGTCCTCATGGGATTTACAGACCGGCCGGAGCTTCAGCTCCCGCTCTTTCTGGTATTCCTGGTCATTTATCTCTTCACTCTGGTGGGAAACTGTGGCATGATCCTGCTCATCAGGGTGGATTCCCGGCTCCACACTCCCATGTACTATTTCCTCAGCCATCTGGCTTTCATCGATCTCTGTTACTCCTCTTCCATTGGGCCCAAGATGCTGCAAAATTTACTGGTGAAGAAGAAAACCATCTCCTTTTCGGGCTGTTTTGCTCAGCTGTACTTCTCCAGCGCTTTCGCCACCACGGAATGCTTCCTTTTAGCCACAATGGCCTATGACCGCTACATGGCTATCTGCAACCCCCTGATCTACACAGCCATCATGACTCAGCGGGTCTGCAGGGAGTTGGTGATAGGGGTCTATACCTACGGCTTCCTAAACTCGGTGATCCAGACAGTTCTGACTTTCCAGTTGTCATTCTGCGACTCCAACGTCATCCACCACTTCTACTGCGCCGACCCCCCTCTCCTGGCCCTGTCCTGCTCTGACACGCACCACAAGGAGCAGCAGCTGCTGATCTTCTCCGCCGTGAATCTCACTGGCTCCCTCCTGACCGTCCTCATCTCCTACGTCTGCATCCTCGTTTCCATTATCAAAATTCAGTCTTCAGAGGGTAAGTGCAAAGCGTTCTCCACCTGCGCCTCCCACCTCACCGTGGTCGTCATCTTCTACGGAACGCTGTTTTTTATGTACCTTCGGCAACCCAAATCAGGAAACTCTTGGAAGTACAATAAAGTGGTCTCTGTGTTTTACAGCCTTGTGATTCCTATGCTTAACCCTTTGATCTACAGCCTGAGGAACACGGAGGTAAAGAACTCCCTGAAAAAAATGCTGGACGGTGAAGAGTCGTAATGAATGAGTTACCGGAACATGGCAGTAGGAAAATACGTTGGATTGTCTCAGTATAGCCAATCTGATTGGAAATTTCGCAGATCATTAGCTATAAAATCAAGTAGTAGTTAATGCAATTCCTATGTTTTAATAACCAAAAGAAGTCGGCCACTTGCATGCCATGCTAATATCTAATCCAGTCAATTTCACGGACTAATAAATTATTTACAAGTTAGAATGTCAGTTATCATGTCCTTGAATATTAAGTGGCTTACCACTAATTAGATAATAACAGGGGCCCTAAATTTTTTTTAATCCTGAAAAAGAAAATTCTGAATGAAACTACAAATTAATGAAACCAATTTATAAAATACATCAAGAAAATAGATGCCAACAACAATACTAAAAAAAATACCCAATCATATAAATTTAGTCTAGGTATAAAATAAAATAAAAAATAGATGCCGTTTTAACATTTTGCAACTTAAAATAGGCTATGTTTCAGCAAGTCATATTTTTAGCTTTAGAATATAGCTCTTCATAAAACATTGCAGTAGATGATTGCTAAGTTTTACGATCAGATCGCAAGAAGCCTATTTAATCCAAATGTAGTTGAAACACTGCGTGCTTAAAATGAACAGTAGGAGAAAAAAATAGGATCACAGCAATAATAAGGAGATTTGGTTTTGCTCTAGAAAAGGGAGCTACATTAGAAGATCATTTTAAAAGAAGAGGCATAATTTAAAACCTCTAGTTTCTAGAAAGTACAACTAGTGAACCTTCTCTTTTTCCTGGTTCGTGCATAAACTTTATAAAGAGGAGTTGAGAGTAAGAGAAAGAGAAAAAAGGATTTTCCTGAAGTGTCACTTGTATAAGCATCTGAGAATACAGTCAGTCTCTTTTCAATAATTTGAATGGTCTAGATAAATAGTTTTGCATCATTCCTATATTCTGTTCTGTTCTGTTCTGTTGTTACATATTTACTATTCTAGTTTTCTTGGAGATAGTATTATATAAATTATTTGAGTGCATATAGATAGGTCAAAGAAAAAATCTTAGTAATTTTACTTATGCATTAATATGAGCATGCTATAGGTTTTCTTGCAACATAATTAAGACACAGGAATAGTCCATGAGCCATTAGATCTTCTCCCTAAACTATTTTCAAATATAACTACTAAGTATATGACTTTGTTAAATGACTAAGTAATAGATGACCAATTGAGTAAAATAAACTCCAATTAGTAAGGAAACTAAGAGCTCCCTGCTGCCCCTAGATTAGATCTTCAGATAGTAAGATGGCTCTTCTTGCTTATCATCTAGTAATTAAAGAGAAAAACAATAGTTAGATACTTAAAGCTTCTCTTAACTTAAACCTGAAAGCCTTTCTGGAAAATTTCATTACCAATCATATTACAAAGGGGCAGAGAGTTGTCTTTGATTAAAAAGAAAGATGATGATGATGATAAAGTAAAGGAACAGAGTAAGGAGAGGTGTGACGTGTACCTGGGCAGTAGAAGAGAAAATCCCAGATCATGAACAGAAGAGGAACAAGGTGAGATGATAGGATAATGCTGAGGGAGAACTGAGAACTGTTAGACCATAGCTCCTTGAAGTTATGTAGAATTGTTCTTCAGTCTTGCTTCCCAATACCTTCCATAGTTACTATCACAGAACAGACACATAATTGTTTCCTGAAATAACTTGACTTCTGTATTTATACATAATCCTAAATAAACGCATGGACATAGAGCCCAGTTACAGCTGTATGATTTCCAAGGAGTAGGTTTCATTGACTATGCAAAGGCATTTGACTGTGTGGATCATAACAAACTGTGGCTGACTCTGAGAAGAATGGGAATCCCAGAACACTTGATCGTACTAATGCGAAACTTATACTTGGACCAGGAGGCAGTGGTCAGAACAGAGCAAGGGAACACTGCATGGTTCAAAATTGGGAAGGGCATACGCCAGGGATGCATCCTACCTCCATACCTTTTCAACCTATATGCAGAACAGATTATCCGGGAGGCTGGGCTGTATGAGGAGAAATGTGGGGTCAAGATTGGTGGATGATTTATCAACAATCTGCGTTATGCGGATGACACAACCCTGCTTTGCTGAAACGGAAGAGGGCCTGAAGCACCTGCTGCAGAGGGTCAAGGACTACAGCCTCCAATATGGATTAAGGCTCATTGTCAAGAAGACAAAGATTCTCACCACTGGACCAATTGGCAGCATCAGGATGGATGGTGAAGAGACTGAGATTATACACAGCTTTAGTTTGCTTGGCTCCACAGTCAACAGTCTTGGCACCAGCAGCCAGGAAATTAAAAGGCGCATTGCCATGGGAAAGTCTGCTGTTAGGGACTTCTACAAAGTACTGAAGAACAATGGTGTCTCTCTGGAGACTAAGGTGCATCTGATACAGGCCATGGTTTTCACAATCACTTGTTATGCATCAGAGAGTTGGACAATGACCAAGGAAGATAGAAGGAGAATTGATGCCTTTGAGCTGTGGTGCTGGAGAAGAGCATTGAGAATACCATGGACGGCTAGGAAAACAAACAGATTTGTCCTGGAAAGGGTTAAACCGGGTGGCTCCTTGGAGGCAAGGATTCTGAGGCTCCGTCTAACATACTTTGGACATGTTGTGAGGATAGACTGGTCCTTGGAGAAGGACATCATGCTTGGTAGGGTGGAGGGACGGCGCAGGAGGGGAAGGCCCTCTATGAGGTGGATTGATTCAGTGACTGGGATACTGGATGGGAGTGTCAGAGACAGTGCGATTAGCACAGGACAGAGCAGAGTTTAGGGCTGTCGTACATAGGGTCGCTATGAGTCGCAAGCAACTCAAGGCACCTAACAACAACAACAGGTAGAAAATAGCCACTAGAGTTATGAGAGCAAGACCATTTTCAGTGTCCCCTCAAGGAAGCTAACATTTGTAATGCAGAAAGATGCAATGAAGACAGAGAAAGAGAGATTCATTTTAGAGATTGGTACGTTGGGAAAATGGTAGTAGCTAGAGCTACTTACCATCAACTGGACCATTCAAGGCAAGAAACCACTGCAGTAGAGATTGCTACAAATTTAGATTAGAAAGGTGAATAGGTTCCCACATTTAAATGGGAAAGTGTATTTTTAATGAAAATCCATAGTTACTTAGGAGATATTTTACCCAACTAATTTCAGATCATTTCAGTTTAGAAAATTCAAAGGGGTAGAGGGTGGGAGGAAGCAGTAAATGTATACCATGATATATGACTATTAGAAATTACTTCCTCTTGTGTTTTCAGAAGGAAAGTGCTTTAAACAGTCTTACAGTAAGCACCTTCAATTCTTCTGCTTTATTTAGAGAAAACTGAAGAAAGTACATTGCTGAACTTCTCCGTAGTGACTTCCCAGGCATTATTATATTATTATAATGTTGATTTTTTGCACTTTACCCAATATGCATCCTTGATTCCCCTGTAAAGCCAAGCAAACAATGAGAATGTTTATAAATTAGGAGCTTAAAAAAATCATGTTTTCCTAAGTTTTCAAAGGACATTAAGTATGAAGAAAGCTCAGAATGAGCTTGATTTTTAGTTTTATGTTCTATTGAATGCCTCAGGAGCTTTAGTGGACTACTGGTAAGAAGCTGCATTGGCAACCTGAAGGCTCAGGGTTCAAATCCACGAGCTGCTCTGCGGGGAAAAGATGGGCAATCTCCTCCTATGAAATTTATTGCCTTTGAAATCCCCCTGAAGGGTCAAGTAGGGGTCAGTTCCAACTAAAGGAAACATAACAACAACTTTTAATCCCTTTGTCTTAAAATTCATCCTCTGAATCTGGTCTTGTAAGAAAAGGTCTCATTTGCAAAAGTTATCAATTACTTACATTTTAAAAAACACATTATGCACAATACACACAGATGTTATTCAAATTTTATAAATATTTAATTACTGAAGAAAATGTATTTACACACTTCTGTTCACTTTTACAGTAAGGATCTTTCATTCAATACATGTAATAATTCTATTTCTTTTTCAGTCAACTATAAATATTATCTGAATATTCAAGTGCTATCCAACAAGGGAGTTTTAACTTTGCTGGACTTTAAGAGTGAAACATATCAGGAAAGTGAAAAGAAAACTTCCTTCATTTGTAAATAGGGAGCTCCAGTAGCACAGAACCTAGGGAGTTGTGTAGCTAACCTCAAGGTGGCCCTTCTCTACTGGTTCAAATCTATCAGCAGCTTCAAGGGAGAAGGATGGACTATCACCTCTCCTGTGATTTACAGTCTCAGAAAACCCACTGCAGGATCAGGTGGTTCTAATTCCACAGCTATCAGAATTATGAGTTTTAATGTCTAAATTAAATATAAATTCACTTCCTTACTAATTATCCTACAAATGGATGTATTTGCTAGCACTCATTTCCCAATTTCTATTAACACATTTCATCTGTAACTGAAACACATGGCATGTTTATCAAAATACTTATACAAATTTCCACATAAAATACTGAATATTTCAGTGTATTTTAGATTTAAATTCTTTATTTCTGCTCATCTGATGCTGTTGAATTTGTCATGCTTGCCAACATGCCAAAGAGATTTTTTAAATTATTTTAATCATAACACAGAAACTTGGGAGTGAATACTATTATTTTCCATATTATTTTAAAATAAGAATTTCAGAAATTTATGCATATTAATATCTCAAATGTCTAGTCCAGAATTTTCACCTCTGCCCTTAATGTGTATTTTGTTTTTTTGTGTAGGTTTTTTTAAAAAATGTGTTTTAACATGCTGTAGATATCAAAGGGGCCAGGAAAGTGTTAATCCAGCACTTAAGAGTGGCTCCCCGCCTGCATTTAAGTGATGCATCCACCAGAGAGATAGGGAGACAATGACATCAGAACTTGGGGAGTTTAGGCTCCTGGGAAGGCGACAGATTTAGTCTTATTTTTCCAAGCCAGTTTGTTGTAGAAATAAAAACATTTGATAAATGATTAGAATTTTCACATCTAGAAGT